GCCAAATTTACCCTTGTTACAGGGGCAACTTACAGTAAGTTCCTACCAAAGCCATACGCCATCTGTTTGAATCATTTAAAAGAAAGGTTTGTCTCCTTATTCCCCTTCTATTAGATGTGACAGATTAATGTCTTTGAGGGCAGATCACTGTTAGGCTAAATCTCTCTCTGGTTATGATTCCTTATAACTATAAAACAGTCACAAGGTTATGGGGTTTAAAAAGAGAGGTTTATTGCAGTTTCCAACACTGGAACTACAGGCTAAGTGTCTCTCCTTTTTCTTTTTTTTCTAAAGTAAATCAAAGCCATACATGCACTCTGCCTTCTCTCAGATATACAGACCTAGGGGTAAGAACACACAGTCTACAGGAAAACTACTAAAACAATGTTCTGTGAATACACACTAATCCTTACACTGAGTCTTTTACACTTGAGTAAGAGCTGCTTGTTAAGCATGGGTTGGTGGCATCCCTGACGGTTGGGGCAGAGCTCGGTGCCTTCAGCAGCTCCACCAGCATTTGTTTCTACCCAGCTACCCTAAAACCCGTGTCCATGCCTCAGCTAGAAGCAGGAAGAGATCGACTGTTCAGACATACATTGCAGAATCTGTAGTTCAATACTTGCCAGGCTCTCCCTACACTACATGTTATCCTCAGCTGATGAACTCAATCCTACAGTCCCTGGGTCACACCAGGAAGCAGAGGGGTGCTGATGTTGCTGTATTTTACGTTTCCTGTTAGGGGAAATTTCTGTAAGAGTGAGCTTTGTTCACTGTATTATTTCTGTGACAGTTTGTAGGAGTGCTGCTCTGGTCAGTAGGAGACTGATGGGAGTTTTTTCTTTGAAGAGGCTTTTTCAGGGAAAAACTTGAGTTTCTTTAAAATTGAAGATTCCCTCTCCCCCCACAGCAAAGCCCAATTCTAGATTTCTGATCACCTGTAAAATTAATACGTAGCTTTTTACCAGAAATATTACATTAACCTGTCTGTACTAACTGTATGGGAATACTTCTTTGCTTTGCTTTACTTGGCTTTACCCAGAATTGGTTCAGAACATTGTGCTGGATTCCAGGTAGTCCTCAGCTGCTCAGAGAGCTGTTTTTTGATGTACCTATCCTCTTCTGCTGGACTCCAAGGGCTTTGGTCTTTCCATATGGTGTTACAGCTGTTCTGGGGCCTGTGCTGTGCCATGGGACACCTCGGTGTGTGCCTCCCAGCCAGGGAGTCTGACCCAGAAGAGAGACCAAGGTCATAAGGCTGCAAGGGTGCAGTTTCTGAGGCAGCACAAGGCTGTGGGAACAACACAGTTCAAGAGTGTACTGACTCAGAACAAAATTTCTCAGGTCAGGTCACCAAACCAAAATGAACCAACCTTGGTTTCAGTGATGTGAAAATATTCCATTTCAAATGGCACAATATGCACTGGTGTTCATAAATGGGTGTTGGGGCTGGTTGGTTGGGGTTTTTTTTTTCCTGAACTTGTGAACTTCTGCAGAGAGTCTCTAATCCGGGTTTTTCTCCCCAAATTGGGATGAGAACAGATGTTGAAATACAGGAATTTCTTCCCTTCTGGAGAGGAGGCAGCTGATGAGTATGAGCAACCAGTTTCGGGGTTAGGACAGCAGCCTCTGAAGACCTGTACAGTGGAGCTAAGCAGGCGATGGTGGAGCAGATAGGTGATGGAGGGGAGGGGAACACACAGGCAGAAGGAGGGAAGGAGACTGGAATGAGAAGCAGCGATGAGGGCTAGAAGAGGAGTAAGAGGAGCAGAAGTTTCTGCTTGGCTCCCTGAGCTGTAGAAACTGCCACATTTTTGTGCTGTGTGCTGTATTTTGTGCTGTTGGCTGTGCCTAGCTAAGCACCTTCTGCTTTGCTGAGTGACCGGCAGACATGTGAGCTGGTGCTGCACTGAGAGCTCCTGTTGGAGTGAGCTTGGAGCATGGGGACAGCAAGAGCTGCATGAGGTAGAGCTGGAGGTTCACACCAGCGCACAACCAGTGCTGTGTGGTTTCGCTTCTGCTCACTGAGCAACTGAGTCCTTCCGTGCTAATCGAGCAGCTGGTGAATGCAGTTGGTCCTCCTTTGAGCATGTCTCAGTTCTCACTTGGGTGCTGAGCAGGGCACTGCAGCCCTTGCAAGCAGAGAATCTCTCTGCCACCAAGTCTTTCTCTGCCAAGCAGAAGGAACAAGAGCACTCTTTCCTGGTGTGACTGGGAAGGAGCACTAGTGACTGTTCCAACACACTGCAGTGTTTATTATGCTGATGCTTTTATTATTTAACAAGTTTCTTAACTTTTTAAAGATACCAAATAGATACACTCCATCCATCAGCAATGCCCTCCAGGAATGAGTAGCTAATTAGAGAGCAGGACTTCTGAAAAGACAAACCCGGGTTATGCACAGAACAGGTTTCTCCAGTATTTATTGCCTACGTTACTGGCCAAGCTTCCTTGTAAGTAATAGTCAAATAATCGGCCTGGGTCCTTTTGTGAATGGCTTGAGCCTGTGTGGTCCTCCTTTGTTAGAGCAGCTCATGGCTTCTTAAAGCTCCTGCACCCCCTGTTCTGAGCAGCAGAGCCTGGTGGCACCAGCTGCTTCTGCTTGGAACAAACAGTTGCATGTGACATTAAAAACAAGCCAATTTCAAAATGTATTTGTTTTTCCTTATCCTTTCACTTTTCGGCTCTTCTTAGAACTCAGGAAATATTTGGAGGATTAATATATTTAGCTTTTGCTACAAGCATCTTTTGAACAAGTAAAGCTTGAAGAGGAAAGAGAAATCTTTCCTTCAGAAATAAAACAGCAGGCAGTGTTTGGAAATATTTTAACAATGGACCATATGGGAGTCCCAAACTATTAAGCTTTATTATTCAGAAGGCGGAAAATGTGGTTTGATATTCAATTGATATACAGCATAAATGAGAGCCGCAAACTCGGCTCCCTTGAGCTGGGATTCAGATGTTCTCTTGAATATAATAACTAACACTTTGGCCTAGTTCCACAGAACGCATCCAGCCTGCTGATCACAAGCCAAGAAAATGTAGGCTTTTTTTTTTTGCCTTCCCCTCTCTTCTCCAAAGTACTTTCCTCTCCTGCCAGCATGAGCTTTTGGCCTGAATGTAAATCTCCTGATATTAGATGCATATAGAAGATGAGGAGGATGCTAATAGCATGGAGCAGGAGAGCTGTGTGTGTTCATGTGTGTTTGTTTTTCTTCTGCTTTAATGGTAAGGTTTTCCCTTCGTGATGCGCTATCAGGGGATGATGTTGGTCATCCTAGGTGGGAGGGAGCTGCTTTGTTCCTGTTCCACTGTTTGTTTCTTGGTGCTGTGGGAGCAGGTGAACGTCTTTTGGGGTTACTGTGAAGTGGTGCCAGAGACAATGAGCGCGTGGAATTTGGAGAGAGAGAGTGGAAGTGGTTTCAGTTTCTTTTTTCCTTTGCCTCGCTTGACTTGCGTATATTTATAATTGCCCTTTCCCTTTTCTATCATGTCTCTATTAACTTCCTCTCCAATGAGGAAAACAGCCCATAAAAGTTGCTTATAAAATCCTACATACATGGACTAAGACTGCCTATATGCAAAGGGAGACTGATAGTTACACAGGTACTGCAATCAAGTAATGGCAGGCTGGATCACCTGCTATTTTTGACGCAGGATCCCTGATTCATTCTGTGTACAGGATGGACCAGCTTTGTCAGTGTGAGTGTGGGAGGTGTGGTATGAACAAGGAGTTGCAGGGACAACAGAAATGGTCTTGTGGGTCTGGCAGTTGAATGCTGCCCTGAAATCCTGAGCTCTGTGCTGTCTGTGTCAGAGCTCCTCTGAGATGCCAGTATCATCCTTGGAAATGGCTGAACTATGTCCACTGATACCCTTTGCCCTAAGCCCCCCACCAGAGCCCAACTACCTGGGCACAGACTTCAGGCATGGAAAATCATGCAGATGATGATGTTTAACAGTCAGGTATACCAAACCAAGTCCTCTTCTAACAGGCTAGAAGAAACCTTAGAGTATGTTACCCTGTAACACATGCAACATGAGATGGTTTTGTGTTTTCTGTTGTAGGTATTCAGTATTTCTCTCAGATTTTTGTGCTGCAGGGCTTGACAGTCGTCTATAAGTAACTCTCCTGGTGTTGTGACACACATCTTCAGCTGTGTTGGGTCCTGCCTCTTTTAGCCTCTTAAAACTGGGAAGAACTTTCTTTCTGGTTTGTGATTTCCCCTCAGGAGCCTATGAGACTCTGGCATTTTTCACTAGAAGTGTGATGAGCCCAAGACAGACTTTCACTTTGCGTGTAAGTCCAGGAATGCCTGTAATACAGAACACTGTAGAGAATATAAATTATTCATTCTGAATGTGAAGTTCAGTTTTGGCTTCTGTCTTTCCTCCATTTCTGTTTTCAGTTGCTCATGATAGCTGAAACTTTCCATGTTTTTTGCCTCATCCCACACAGAGATTTTTTCCTTTGGGGAAAACTGGAGCAAAATCAATTTTAGTGCAATTTTTCAAGTCTCTTTGACTTGCACCTACATCTGTTTAGTGTGGGGGAGTGGAATTTTATCATAAAACGTTTGATTTATTTAATGTATTCAATAAGCATCCAAGATGTGCCAGGTACTTTCTCAGCCCTTTTTGGATGAGAAATCTTGCAAGCTAAGAACTTAATAAACAAAGAAGCTACAGAACTCAAAGTTTCCCTGCTGTTAACGTCTCCATATATCTAAGGAATAAACCAAGTTTGAACAGTGCAGATCCAGGACTTGTACAAAATATCACATGCAGTACTGATGAGATCTAACATAGGAATAACTGTTCTTTACCTATTTTTTGGTCCTATTATTTGGCCAATTTACAACTAACGTGGCTGTGTCTACACCACAGCTCAACTTCCACTGCAGCTGTGAGTCTGTTTTTACTGGTGAAGCCATTGCTGTGATTTTATGACTCCGTACTAACAGCTCATCTAAACAGGGTCATTGATTCAGACCAAGGTAAGTTATAAATCTGAGCAGAAGAGCTATTCCCAATTAACTTTTTCATCCTAACAGAGTGGTGATTTGGAGTAGTTAATAAGGAATAGCTGTTCTGGAATAGTCCCTTTTTAAGACAAAACCTTACTCTTTCTATAATTGCATTCTAGGAAGCTATTCTGTACTGAATAAGCATGGGATAGAGTGCCTAGAAGACGTTAAGACCAAGCACAGCTAGCGGTGAGTGGGGCAATATACGCTGGGATGTCCTATTGCAACTGTAATGAGTGAGCAGAATAGCAGAACTGGATGCCTGTGCATCTTTCTAGAAGGCAACAGAAAGTATCCTACCAAAGTCACTGTATGGAGGCCCCTATCTCAGCAGGGATGAAGCATGAGCTGCCCGTTACTGTCTGAGCATTAACCTCACGTTACAGACAGATTATGTGTTTTAACTCGTAACTGACTGCAAATTGATTAAATGTTGGGGTTTGGAAAGGATCTGTGTGCTTTTTCCAATGTGTATTTACATTATTATGTGGGAGCAATCAATTTATCAAACCCGTCTGATTATACAGTAGTGGAAAAGACAACTGGTTAGAAGAAAACTTGGTTTTAAGGTGGATAGAAAAATAGTTTAGAAGAAATTTGCACACTTTTTTCCTTGAGGAGATCCTACACTAACAAACTAATGAAATGAAGGAAAAAGCCAGTAATTTTAATGGCTTGGAAACTCTCCTGCAGCATAAAATTCTGTACTTCACCTTGCAAAGGAGGATGGGCTGGAGTAGAGATGGTGCTCTTGTGCTCTAGTGCATTGTAGTTGTGATCCAGGTACTGTTAATTCATAGTTCTCTAGGTTCTTGGAATTCATCCCTTCCCTTAAAAGGGAAGGTGGCAGCCTGGAGTGGAGAAGCTCCAACTGCAGCCCTTTGGATGTTAATCCACACTGACTTTCTTAAGCCTCCTACTTAAATCATTATCTTAATGAATCACCATTGCTGCTATCTTCAGTGCTACATAGGAACATGCAAATTTTAAACAGCCTGGGGGAAAGACCTTTTTGTCTGTAAAGTGCTCTGATACTTGCATTTAGATGTTGCCATGATAGGTACCTTGGATACTCTTTTCCACCTCATCGGGTGGATAGATCCTGGGTATAGTGCATCACCAGTGCATGGCTGCTGGGCGGCTCTGGGGCTTGTCCCTGAGAGGAGATGGATGTGATTCTGCTACTGAGTGTAAGCAGCAGCTCAAGCGGTTGAAGCCAGATGCTGTGCAGGTTTGTCATTCCTCTGCCTGCCTGTTGGCTATGCTTTTCTTCAGGTCTGAAATGGCAAGGAGCTGAGGGAGTGAGGATGGGGGACCATTTCGACTTTGGGGCAGGTTTCTTTCATTTGACTCTTTTCACAGCACAAAGAAATAAGACATGCAAATGTTAATGGATCAGCTAAATTTTCTCCCCTGTAAATTTGGTACAGCAGGAAACTGAGCAGCTTGCTACAAAATCTTAGGAACACTTGTTTGAGGAAAAACTGAACATAGTGAAGCCGCTGCGGAGTATCTCCAGAATTTTCAGCACTGTGTAGTACAAATATGTCCTTGAAGAATCAACTTGGCTTGGCATTGAGCTCTGCCCACTTTCAGCTCTCCCAGATTATCACTTAAATGTTTATTCATAGGTGGTGGGTATGGGGGGAGAGCCATGTATAGCTGTTTCAGATGGCAAATCTTTGAGGTTATTTACAGTATGCAATGAAAGATTTGATTCCTTTATTCATTAAACCAAGAGCTGAGGGAGCTGATTTATGCAAATGTCCTAGATGATAAGAAGTACTCCTCTTAAATTGCAGAATAAATTCACCCACTGTCCCCTTTCTGTGGCTTAGAAGAAGAGCCCATTCCCCTACTATGGGTAACTTTTCCTCACCAATAATAGATCTGCTTCTGAAACAATGGCAAGATAAATGCAGAAGATACCAGGTGAACCGAGATCCTCTAATCTCAGGTGGGAAAGGGACATATTAACAGAATTGAACTTAAATGCATTTACTGCAGCAACATTACTAATTGCCAAGTCCTGCTGGGAGAGTTATGCCCACAGGAGGCCAGAACATCTATCTCAGGGAGGGCATCCTTGTTCTTCCCGGCTAAGTCTTCTCTGAAACCAGTTGAGCTAGATGGTTTTAGACTAAGAAATGCATTTTCTTGCCTCATGCTGAAGCTAAGTAACATGTTTTCACTTAGTTACCAGAGAAGGGGAATGTGAGCAAATGGCAAGTGCTTTTTGCAGCTCATGGCCCTCATGGGTCCAGTGTGTCAGGAGATACTAACTGCTTCCTCACCCCTTGATGTGCACCTTCCCAGACAGCAGCAAGTAACCAGTCTGTGACTAAAACTGTTTTCCTTGCCCGGTGTAGCTGTGACCAGATTGTCACTTTTTTGTAATAGCATTTAAGACACTTACTGTAAACTGCTTTACAACAGTAACTTTTCTGCTCATTGTGACCAGACTCTGGTGGATTCTGTATTTGAGCTCTCAGGGGGTTCTGATCCCTCGTTGGATGGCACTGTTGTATAATACAGGGGGTAAGTTAACTGGGGAAGCATCTATTAGGTTCAGCACTTCAAGAACAGTCAGAGTAGGGATTTCAGAAGAAACACCAGAAGTGATTTATATGTGTGTATTAAGTACATGGGGGGGGGGGGGGGGTGTATGTGTATTGTGTGTATATTTCAAAAGAGAGAATTGGGGTGACTAACATTTGAGGCTGAGTGCAAAACTTAAACACAACTTTTTCTCATTGCAGTCTTAGGAAAGTAATGGTGATGGGTAATGGGTGGGAGGTCTGTGCTGACTTTCTGAATTTCCTGTATGTCAGAGCTCCAGGAGGGAATTTGGTGGAAATTTCTCTTTGTTTTGCGTAAAAGTGATGTTCTATCCCACATTTGTTTCCTTGGAAAACTGAAGGAAAGGGACTCTTCTCCCCAGCACTTAAAACGCCCAGTGTTATTTTTGCAGGCACTGTGTGCAAAGTGTTTGGGAAATGAGATATCCAGAAGAACCATTTGTATTTCAATATGCTGAACTGGCTTACATTATTCACCTAGCTTTTGCATGCTATCTCGTGCTTGCAGGTAGTAGTAGAGTTCTGTTGATGTACAGAGGTTATTATTTCTATAGTTTGCTCATTCAAATGTAGAGGTTTCTATCTAGAGAAATACAATGTGTCTGTGCTGTTATTTTGTTACACTGTATTGAGCTCCCTTTGTTAACCATGTGTTTACTGGAGTCTGCTCAGTGTTCTGGTCAGGTGTGCTGAGATGCAGTGTTTCAGCTTGGAACTTGGTTTTAGGTTGTCTTTCTCATGGTGTGTGACGACTGCCTCCTAGGAGTTCTGGAATTGGGGTCAGACCAACTACTCTGTTTCTCCCAGCATTCACTACCAAGAAGCACAAAGAAACTGCAGCTGAGCGCTGTGACTGCCAGTGCTGTTATGAACAAGAGATGCACATAGCATTAACAGGTAGATGGATTTTAATCTACAAGCATATCTGTCATTAATTTTAAGGGCTTTTGGAACCATGGCAGCTCAGCTAAGAGAGGGGAGATAAGCCACGCAATTACATGAAGCAGCTGTATTTGGTGAAGTACATCTCTTTGGATTAGCAGGGGCTCAAAAGGCTGGGTAGGGAACGGTGCATCACACTGCCAAGTCTGATCCTTCAGGACAGTGACGCATTACATGGGAATGCCTGAGAAGTTTTTTAAGCCTGGAATATTCGCTGGGATAACGTTAAGAAAGTTTCCTTGGTTAGTCAGGATAGATTTTAATGCAACCATGCTTTCCCCTGATTGTACTTTCTGCTTCTCTGGCTTGTGGCACTTCTCACTGTGTGCACAGGTGAAAGAAAGTGGTGATGAGCTTGGAGCGGCTACAAACTTCCATGCTTTTGGGAAGACTTTGCAAGGGGAGGAAATAGGGATTTGAAAGCTGTGGGTCTGACTGGCTTGAATTGGGTAAAACAAACAGAGAGATCTGTGGCAGCATTTGTAAGGAGATGAAAAATTTGAGCTGCACCTCAACAGACTCCCTGAGAGCAGTACCTGGAGTGAGTCCCCACAAGGTTCTTGCAGAGACTAATGGGCAGCTGGGAGGAAATGCTGCACTCCCTGACGAATCAACAAGCTCTCTGGGTGTTTACCCAAGCTGGTAAACCAAACAGAAACCATCAGTACGCTTCATGGTGTGCCAGTATCTTCAACAACATACAGGTCTGGTTGCCTCCTCTGGAAGGTAGTGGAGGGCTTGGGAATGTCCAGAGAAGACCATCAAAGATTGGTCTCAAGTCGTGTTGACTGCCTTCTCTTTTACATAGAGAAGAGTTGACCTATTACAGGAATTGCAGATGTTTTATACTGTCATGAATGAAGTGGGAAAGGGGAGTGGGGAGTGATTCTTCATGATTCTGTGTTAACTACCTTGATTCAAAGCAGGCAAAGAGATGGTACTCTGTCAAGCAGCAGTTACCACGTGAAACTCATTGCCAAAGGGTGCTATGGATAGCAGAAGTCTAAACAGATAGAAAAATCAATGAAGGACAGATAAGTTCTTATTAATAAATTCTTATTAAAATGATAGCCTGGGTGCAACTTCTGGATCAGGAGATCTTTAACAACTGCACAAGGGATAAGAAGGGAATAGACTGCCTGTACACTGTTTTACTGCTATTTTCCCCTGTCTCTCCCCTTCTACCAACCTCCTTTTTTAAATTGGCCCTATTCTGGCTACTCCTGAAGAATAGAGACCTAGACCTTTGCTCTTGTAATATGACTTTTTATAGTCCAAAACTAGAAAGGAAGTGCTCCACTGCAGTGCAGAACTAGTTTTGCCTTGCAGCCCACAAGTAATGTAAATGATGTAATAATCATTCTCTATGATTCTGAAGCACACTGAAATGAAGAGAACTAGGAGCCAAATTCCTCCTAATACCTTAAAAATGTGTGTTATAAAATGTTTCCATAGCTGGTTTTCTTCATTAAAATTCTGTCTTACTAACAGGCTCGGATTCCTGTTGAAGCTGAGAGTCACTACAATGTTTCTAGTTATTTTTCTCAGTGTGTTTGGTGCTACAGTCAGTCTGGATGCTTGGTAATGCACCTCATGGCCTGCCTTAGGCGTTTTACCTTGAGTAGTAGGGACACCTTGGGCTAGATGCTGAGGATGGCTGCCCTCCAC